TTATTATTATTATTATTATTATTATTATTATTATTATTATTAACATTCATTGACCAAATTTTCAATCAAAATGTCTGTAACACGTAGCACCAAGTGAAGTGCATCTACTACTATATGATCCAGTGAAATGTTCAACAACGGTTGCTTATCACAGCAGTAATTATCTTTAGTTGTTGTTGACATTTCATGGATCTCTTCAAGAGTTCTTACCATGGGTGGAGTGTTATAAATAAGGTAGTTGTCACGTACACCAAGCACAGGCATAGTTGAATGTGGCTCCTTCGAGTCCAAGCATCAGTAAAATAAATTTTTAATTACCTCCAAGGTAAAATTCAGTGCTGAGGTCTTGACCATCTACGGTTAATTTTGCTGAGTCAATCAAGCTGCTTATTTCGTTGAATAAACTTCCAAATGGCACCTTTATTGTCTGATACCCTTCACTTCCATTGACTGCACCAATAGTTCTGTTTCCTTTTGCACAAATGACAGATTCACCAGTTTGTAGAATAGAAAAGAAAAGTTAAATGAAATTTGAATATCTTGTCATTCTGGCACCATCCCCATTGATTTCAATTGAAGGGGTGAGTGCAAAACCATGCTAAGTGACGATTTGGGTGAAAAAAAAAATTTCGCTAAAGGGCTTGAATTTTTGCATGTGGTCTTCAATGTAATAGAAAAACACGGCCCTGTATTTTTGTCGCTGGTTTTTGCTTCGTTTTCGAGTTATAACGTATGCAAAAATACTTGGCTTTTTCCCTAGCCATGTCTTCAGGAGGTTATTTGTTGAACAGCAAACAGGCAGACTGTTTATAGTGTATGAAGTCAAAATCAAATCTCACAGCATATATAGAGCGAAAATCTGGGAACAGATTGTTTACATCGGTTATTGTGACGTGAGCACAACACGTGAATCGATCGAGCGTCAAACGAAATTCATCGACCAAAAAAGAGATGTGCCGCATTAGAGCTCTGTCAACTAATATCTAAAGCATTGTTTTAAAGTACCTTGTATGCCTGCCTGGTGGTTGAGAGGCATCATAAAGTCTCGATAAACCCGTAAGTCATCAGCACGTTTTAAAGAATCA